AGCAGTGGAACAAGACTGTCGTCAGTCACGAGCCGATGGCAGGGTATTGTGTTATGTGTCACGCCCAGTGTTGGTTCGTAAGGTTGATCAATTTGGAAGGGGCGGCGCAATAAGTTGGGGAACATTTTGGGCCAAAAGTCGACCTCAATTAATTGTCGTCCAGGGTGTACTACTGCTATACAGGTAGGTACATCTTCCAAGGTACCCACTATTAGCTTGTCTACAGTGGTTATGGTAACCCTCAAAATGATCAAACCATCAACTTGTCTACTGACGTTTGCTCCACCCTTTAAAGTAGCTACTTACATCTTATCTTGTCGTGATGTTAACATTCCACTGTATCCACATCACCTTGTCTACATTCCTCAGGTACTTCCTGTAATATAGCCACCCACAGCTCGTCTACAGTCTTTACGGTTCAACGTCTATTTTACCCACCATCAACTAGTCAAGAGTCTCTATGGCCCACCCTCTAATGTACTCAAAAGTCAGCTAGTCAGCAGTTTCTTTGACCCACCCTCTGATGTATCCACCATCAATTTGCCTACAGTCTTTATGGTCCACCATTTAATGTACCCACCATAAACTTGTCTACAGCTTCTTTGGTCCTCCCTCTGATGTACCCACCATCAACATGTCCACAGTCTTTATGGCCCAACCTATGATGTACCACCATCAACATGTCCACAGTCTTTATGGTCCACCCTCTGATGTACCCACCAAGAACTAGCCTACAGTCGTGATGGTCCACCCTCTAATGTACCACCATCTACATGTCTACAGTCTTTATGGTCCTCCCTCTGATGTACCCACCATCAACATGTACAGTCTTTGCGGTCCACCCTCTAATGTACCACCATCTATACTGGCCACATAAAGAAACTGTGCACACAGAAATTATAAATATAGGCACACAGCATATTTATACATAAATACATTTGTGAACATAGCAAGTATTGGAGACAATCAAACGCTCATGCACGTGCCAGGCGACGTGACGTCATTGACGAAGGACTATGGCCTTGCAATATGTTACTGCACGTGCAGCCCGTACAGCTGCACACAACATGTGAAACTCTGAAATTGCTGTCACTGTCGAAAGCTTGATCTTTGGTCATTCAAACGTTCACAAATCCACATGAGAAGTCACATGCACATCATGCCAAGATTAACATCAGCTCAACGTCATGAAGCCATTGGAATGGTTCGAGCAGGAATGAGCCAATAACAGGTGGCAGCACATTTCCAATGCCATCGTAACACGATATCTGCATGGGTCAGGCGTTATCGAAACAGTAATGACGTCGCCGACCACCCACGTTCTGGGCGTTCCCGACGTAACGACGCCAAGACAGGACAGGTGGATTCAGGTGACTCATCTCAGATACAGGTTCCAGACAGCAGTGACCACGCCCCAGACCATTCCCCAGGACTTTAATGCTCATTTGCTAGCCTCTATGCGTCGTCGATGCACTGCTGTGCTTCGTTATTGACATTGTGACTTCGTCGTGTGACCCCCTACTCGATTTTGAACTTCTGACGTCATCGTTACGGATATTGTTCATGTTCTTTAGACAATTTCTTGTGGTCCGATACTTCAGCTTATTTCGTCTTTGCTGTGTTGTATTCCAATTCTGAAGGCATTTTCTGTGTGCACATTTTCGTTATGTGGCTAGTATACATGTCTACAGTCTTTATGGTCCACCCTCTGATGTACCCACCATCAACATGTCTACACAGTCTTTATGGTCCATACTCTAATGTACCCACCATCAACATGTCTACAGTCTTTATGGTCCATACTCTAATGTACCCACAATCAACATGTCTACAGTCTTTATGGTCCATACTCTAATGTACCCACCATCAACATGTCTACAGTCTTTATGGTCCACCCTCTGATGTACCCACCATCAACATGTCTACAGTCTTTATGGTCCACCCTCTGATGTACCCACCATCAATTAGCCTACAGTCTTTATGGTCCATACTCTAATGCACCCACCATCAACTACGTGTAGTCTGTTGTCGGTATAACCGGCCTGTAATGTCAGAATACCTTTGCATACCGGCAAGACGCACGGTGACGACACTATGCGGCTTACAAGGTCACCTTTGACTTGTCTTAATAGAAAATGTCACTATCGATAACACATACATATGTGCTAGATGTGTTATCTTTCATTATTTATATTTGGGTTTTTATTAACCATTATCTTTCAGGTCATATCCATCCACCTGTTACAACCCAGTATTGATGCTACAACAACTTGATGCTACAACAATAGCAACAAAACAACAACAACAACAACAACAACTACTACTACTACTACTACTACTACTACTACTACTACTACTACTACTACTACTACTACTACTACTACTACCTCTACTACTTCTACTACTACTACTACTACTACTACTACTACTACTACTACTATCCGGGTTAGAATATTGCTCTTCAGTAATCCATGCTTGTCGTAGGTGGCGACTAACGGGATCGGGTGGTCAGGCTCGCTGACTTGGTTGACACATGTCATAGGTTCCCAATTGCGCAGATCGATGCTCATGCCTTTGATCACTGGATTGTCTGGTCCAGACTCGATTATTTACAGACCGCCGCCATATATCTGGAATATTGCTGAGTGCGTCTTAAAACTAAAGTCACTCACTCACTCACTACTACTACTACTACTACTACTACTACTACTACTACTACTACTACTACCATAAAAACAAAAGCTTCTACTATAGCTACTACTACTACTACTACTATTACTATAACTATAACAACAACTACAAAAAAAATTACTACTTCTACTATTACATCTTCTACCACTACCACATCTTCTACCACTATAACCACAACTACAACAACAGCTACTTCTACTATAAAAACAACTACTACTCTTACTATAATAACAACGGCTACTATTACTACTACTATAATAACAACTACTACTGCTACTAAAGCAGCAACAACTACTACTACTATAATAACAACTACTACTACTGCAATAATAATAACAACAACTACTAATACTATAACAGCAACAACTACTACTACTATAACAACAACTACTACTACTACTACAACTATAACAACACCAACTACTTCTACATTGACAACAACTACTACTTGTACTACTACTAGTACTACTTCTACTATAACAACACCAACTACTACTACTACTACTACAATGATAACTACTACTACTACAACTATAACAACAACTACTACTACTACAATGACAACAACAACTACTACCACTACTACAACTTCTATAATAAGAACTACTACTACTACTATAACAACAACTAATACTATAATATACAACTTCTACTATAACAACAACAACAACAACAACTACTACTACTATAATATACAACTACTACTATAATATGCAACAACTACTACTATAATATGAGTGAGTGAGTTAAGATTTTTAGTCACATCGGTAATATTTCAGCCATATCGTGACTCTATTATAATAACAACTATTACCGCTACTATAGCAACTACTACTACTACTACTACAACAACTACTACTGCCACTACTACTATAATAACAACTACTACTACTGCTATAGTAACAACTACTACTACTACTACTACTATAATAACAACTACTACTGCTACTACTACTTCTATAACAACAAGTACTACTACTATAATACCAACTACTACTGCTACTAGTACTACTACTATAACAACAAGTACTACTACTACTACTACTATAATACCAACTACTACTGCTACTAGTACTACTACTATAACAACAAGTACTACTACTACTATAACAACAAGTACTACTACTACTACTATGATAACAACTACTACTGCTACTAGTACTACTACTATAACAACAAGTACTACTACTACTATAATACCAACTACTACTGCTACTAGTACTACTACTATAACAACAAGTACTACTACTACTATAACAACAAGTACTACTACTACTACTATGATAACAACTACTTCTGCTACTGCTATTGTTAGTTATAGTGTGAGGTAATAGCCACACCCTTTGCATTTGTACTGTCACAACCATCGTCATCAGGGATACAGATACATGTCACGCACATTCCTCTCATCGCGGCCTGAAAGTATAAGGCAGGTCAGCACGGCGTCTGTGCGTGCACAGAAAGATGTCAGTAATGTCTTTCGGTCATGTAATGTCATGCTCACTGGTAACATGTCAGTCCCGTCCTGCTGGTCGTATTACATAGCTAAAATACCAGTAACATATGCAACACAATATAGCTTACGCCCAGCATAAAATTTTTAATTAACCCAACATGAATATTTACACCGTCTACCTGTATTCTCGTCATGACGTGATATGACACTTTGCCATGCGAGATTTAAATAATACCGTGTATCTGCTTCATAATCATTTCAGTCAAAACAGGTTTAAAGGTATCTACAAGATTTTATATCTGAACACCTTACGACAGATACACGCCGAATAGTTGGCTGAGACAGTACTGTCTTAGCACAAAATATAAACATGTGTAAAACACAAAAAAAGCAAAAGGTAAATGTTATACGTAGATGAAAATATAGTTTATACATATTCTAAAACAATATGGAAAGTTCTTTTTCAAGTAAATTTAAATTGTAAATGTAAATTAAATTGCCAAGACGACACATTTGTGTCGCTGAAACATGACAGTGATTACAAAGTACTGATATAATCTACGAAAGTTTTAATGTATAGACAATATATAGACATTGTTATCTAAATAACAGAAAATATTAAATCGTACTTACCACAAGTATAAATGATTACAAAGTACTGATATAATCTACGAAAGTTTTAATGTATAGACAATATATAGACATTGTTATCTAAATAACAGAAAATATTAAATCGTACTTACCACAAGTATAAATGATTACAAAGTACTGATATAATCTACGAAAGTTTTAATGTATAGACAATATATAGACATTGTTATCTAAATAACAGAAAATATTAAATCGTACTTACCACAAGTATAAATGTTCCCCAAAATTCCGCAAAGATTTGCCGGGCAAGCAAATTTTCAAGTCTCAGCTTATTCTTAATTGCCTTTAATCCCATTTCAAAGGTTACACCTCCGTGCCAAGTCTACACTCTCACTAGCAGTATCAACAGCGTGTCTTACGACAGAACAGTTGACAATTCTCCAATCACACGAGACTAGGGGCAACCGTCAGGCGCTCTGAAACGGGTGACCTGAAAACCTGATAAAGCAACTTGCAGGTGGAACACGAGGTGAGGTGGCTCTTGTGCTGGTCATTGCTGGTATCTGTGTCCACACCAGGCGGTCAGGTGTCTCGGTTACTGGCCGATTACGATTTGGGAAGGAATTTTCTGCGGTTGAATTCAGTGTTATCGTTTGGACCAAACGAAAGACGTTCGCCTAGTACTTGTTAGGCGGTGACCCATTAGGTTCATTGATAACATTATCGCTTGATAATTTGTGTCATGATACAGTCTACATACCTTTCTTCAAGGACGGGAAACGTATCCAAATTAATTGATACTATAGCTTTCGTCAAGGACGGAGAACGTATAATTAACTGACACCATGCCTTTCGTCAAGGACAGAGAACGTATAAATAATTGATCCCATACCTTTCGTCAAGGACAGAGAAGATATAATTAATTGATGTATCCATACATTTCGTCAAGGACAGAGAACGCATAATTATTTGATACCATACCTTTTCTTCAAGGACAGAGAACGTATATTTAATTGATACCATACCTTCGTCAAGGACAGAGAACGTTTAATTAACTGATACCATACCATTCGTCAAGGACAGAGAACGCATAATTATTTGATACCATACCTTTCGAGGACAGAGAAAGTATCAAGGACAGAGAAAGTATAATTAACTGATGCCATACCTTTCGTCAAGGACAGAGAAAGTATAATTAACTGATAACCAGACAAACGCCAGAGAGACAGATAACAACCGACAGAGGACAGACAGAGGACAGTGGACAAAGGACAGAGGATGGAAAGTAACAGGACAGGAGACAGAAGACAGATAGGATGTTGGAGACAGATTTGTCATATAATGGACGCCAATTCGCATATTTACCACAAAACGTCAACGCCAGACATTAACCAGTCTCCATTTAAACAGAACAGATTCCATCGGGCGTAAAATACAAAACATCAGTGGAAATTATGTGAATGGATCACTATAAATCAGCGATGGCTTAGGTTTGGGGAAAAGGTATAACCTGTCCAGCCCTACCTGTAGGACCTGCCACTCAGTGGGCATGAAGACGTGTGTTAGTTGCTTGAGACCGCACAGCAGTACACCTGTAGTCGTGTCATACGACAGCGGAATTTTAAGAAACCCGTCAGTCAAGTGATGGACGAGAACGTCACAAAAACATCGCATTTACATTCAGTGTTGAAAGTTAAACTGCTATGTACATACAAATATATACAGTTATTCGTATGTTAGCTTAAGTTAAATGTAAACTTTACAAGATAAATGCTTTAAACGTTTAACTTCATGTATCAGCCATTTCTAAATTTTAAAATGCTCACACTCTAGATGAACAGAAAGTGACAAGGAAAAGCTACCTTGTAAAATGCATATGCCTTTATGGCAAATAACATATGATATAAAAGTCCTCTTCATATCGTTAATTTGGGCAGATTTTTTTATGACAGCCCATCTGGCTAATATTTGTCTTGTACACCAAAGGTAGTTTTCATTGCCACCACACAACGCATGCACATTTGATTAATTTAAGTTATTACATCCACTTTGATTTAAAAAACAAACAAATACAAATTCAAATTAATCGGCATGTGTTATATTAAATCTACAATCAAGATGAAATTTGATAAATGCCTTGAGTTCTATTATTCAACCTATGGCGTCACCTTTGAGTTGTACAATCGATCACTGTGTTGTCACTAAATTGTATTTGTGCATGAATATGTGACAAGGTTATTTTTCGACGATGTTGATATATCGCCATACGAACGAGAGCAAACTTTCATTTTATCAAAGATTACGCTTGAATGGAAAGAAACCACAACTGTCTCAAAACCACTTCAGATATGTTTACTTTGCACTTTTTCGACAACTGCGCATTTTGTTGACTGAATAGGTTAACTGTTTTTCTTGCACATCGAAGCCATTTCTATATTTGTATAAACCTGTGTCTGATAATGTCCATTGATTACCAGTTTTGCTCGTATGTTAAAAGACGTCTGGTGAATTTATTTATAACACTTCTATTTACATGTTAAATTCACCGTTTGTACTGTGTAAGTTCTTGCCAAACCTCATCTCGAAACGTGAGTTTAAACTATTTAGATTAAGTAATGTCCATTGATGACACAATGATGGAAAATGAATTAAACAAGGATAGAATAGGAATACCATGATAACCTATGAACTTTTGTTCAACTAAACATCATTATGTTATTGTTTGTGTTTTGCATTAGGTGCTTTGCACATATAAATATTTCAGCTGTATGCATCCCTGCAAATAATCGTGTCTGGAACAAAAATACGTCCTAATGATTGATATTAAGATAGCACTATTACACTAAATCAACTAGACAACAGTGTCGGACAATCTGAGGCCCTTGAAGATCCGGGTTAGAACTGATCTTCAGCAACCCATGCTTGTCGTAAGAGGAGACTAACGGGATCAGGTGGTCAGACGGACTTGGTTGACACATGTCACCATATCTATGCTCATGCTGTTGATCACTGGATTGTCTGGTCCATACTCGATTGTTTACAGACCGCCGCCACATAGCTGGAATATTGCTGAGTGCGGCGTTAAACAACCAACAAGCCAACGGGCCACCTAGAACGACGAGCATGTTTGCTGGGGACCTAATGGGGTGATATACTTTGTTATACATTGTACAGGAAACTACGCTTTAAACGAACTCAAAGGGACCACAACTCTTAGTTCGTTATAACCGTAGTTGGTTATATAATATACATTTCGATTAGAACATACAGCAAATGTCCGGGAGCAAACAATAGTTCGTCACAACCGCATGTTCGTTACAAGCGTGTTCTTTATAAACGTAGTTAGCTGTGTATGAATTAATATAGCTGATATCACTTAGTATACTAGTGGTATGAACCTTTGAATATGTGACTGACTGACTGACTGAGTTTAGTTTTACGCCGCTTTTAGCAATATTCCAGCAATATCACGGCGGGGGACACCAGAAATGGGCTTAACACATTGTGCCCATGTGGGGAATCGAACCCGGGTCTTCGACGTGACGAACCAACGCTTTAACCACTAGGCTACCCCACCGCCCCTTTTGAATATCTGAACATAAACGTGTGACTGTATATACGAGACATGTTTAAACAGGGCTTTAGTAAATAGAACTGCAGGGAACGGATAGCTCGAGAAACCTGTTCTGTCTGCCTCGTGATATATGTTTGATTTAATCGTTGCAGTAAATGTAACAATTTAGGACATATTTTCATGCGAAAACATCATTGTCAGTCGTAACAAGTCTGTATTACATAAACAGCGTCTCAAGCACATCGGTATATTGATCTGAGCAAGCTATAAAGAAATGGTTGACACAATGTCATGGGAAATAAATAAAATATGGACGTATTCATTCTCGACCCGTCTTTTTCAGGCAGATATAATAAAAATGATGACATGTACTTCACAATTAAATTAATAACATGTTTACGACATACGGCAAAATCAAGTCAAGAAAATGTGAGCCCGAGTGCCATTGTGAGATCAATTTAATACATCTACCCTTTATTTTAAAAACAAATGGTTAAACTATTTAATTACACAAAACTGACACGTCCAAGGTCATTAATGAAAGTTCACATCAGCATTCTTGATAGTCTGATACTGACACAAACGTGGTGTTTTACATCACAAGAGACAATTTTTGGGTTTCGTTTTGGAATGGATGCCGAATATATTGTAAAAAGCGGCTAAACGGGTTGGTTGCCATGAACTGGTTAGTTGATTAAGTATCAACGTCTCAAAGCGTACGCGTGATCCCTCACGAGAACAAGAGGCAGTGGGGCAGCCGGTTATCTCCCAAAACTGTTTATCATGCACCTATTACCTCTTGTACTTTTATTCAACTTGATCTTAAGCCTAATTAAGCCTAACTAGCCGGACTAGTCGTTCCAGTGCACTTGATGTAAGGGACATGTGATTAGCTGTGCACTGGACCATGTATTTTGTTGTTTTAGACTGTAGAACTTTTGGCATGTAGAAGTTTTGGCAGGACACCGGGTAGCCTAGTGGTTAAGGCGTTCGCTCGTCAAGCCGAAGACCCGAGTTCGATTCCTCACATGGGTACAATGTGTGAAGCCCATTTCTGTTGTCCCCCGCAGTGATGTTGCTGGAATATTGCTAACAACGGCGTAAACTAAACTCACTCACTCAAGAGAACAAGACGTCAATGACTCTGACAACTTTTTTATTGAATGAGCGCATCTTTGAGCGTGTTCAAATGGCTTACTCAAACTGACAACATTCCGCATACATGCAGTTAATACAAATACCAATATTGTGTGGGGGTTGAACAGAAAAAGTGTGATAAACGTTTGATAACGGAGTGGGAAGTGAATGAATGTTATTTGCCGCTAACAGCATTTAGCTATATCATGATAGCGTAGTGGGTATGGACCGCTGGCGAATGATTGCAAGCACAGCCACACACGCCAACAGGCCCTGAAACAACGGGTGAATGAGACCAGACCCTAAGTTCACTTGGTCCCTCATTTTAGTCGGTGGTTTGAAGTTGTCGGAGGTTACACCAGATATTGACATTATGCTTGCGGTTATTGATACTTGTGTGTTTTCTTAAGGATGATATTCCAGAGTCTTGAAAATGACTGCACTTGTTAACATTATTCGACTTTATAGCTAAAATACATGGAATTATCATGAAACGGCCCTCCCATTATCAGAAATTTGCGGGCTGCTGCAAATGATATTGGACCGCTCAACCTTATCGACGGGCCACTATCAGTTCTGTTGTCAAGTGACGTCATAGTTCGACATATTTGGCTTTCGACTGGCAGATACATGTCAAACAAGTCAAAGCAACCCAAATTCCCGCTTTAAA